CGGCAGAGGGACGCGGGGGACGGCAGAGGGACGCAGGAATGAACAAGTGAGGATGCTGAAGACTCACTCTGTCTGAATATTCTCTTCTTTGCTACATTGCCTGCATTATCCTTTATCCTAGGACCAGGAAATCAAGTAATTAACTGGCCACACATAAATGCTGGGAAACATTCTGAATCTCAATAACCAATTTAGGGTTATTAATTGGATTGGACTTACTCAGGCCAAATGGAATTTAAAAACAGTTTTTTAAAGTTAAAGGCCTTTAGTACATCTAAGACACCAGTCACTAATAATAGTCTAATTGTTTTTGTCTTTTTTAGAATCACAGCCCAAGGATGGTTCTTCTAAGTCTGGAACCCGGACTAAATCTAAGGCCAAACCCAAATAGCTTCCTAAGAGACCGGGGTTCACAGTGGCCATGCCCCTGAACATGCACAGATATGTGAGCTGTGGAGCTGGTGATACAGCTCGCATGGATGGACTCCCTTAACAACAGCCATTAGAAAAGCCACACCATCCAAGTCACCAACACTTTCCTTTAGAGGTATGGAGAGGCCACAGGGAGTCAGTACATGAGTTTACTTGCCAGATTAAAAACAGTTCATGCAAAAGTATGCTGGCCTCTTCAGTTGATTTTCTGAGAGTTATGTCAAAAGTGTTCATTTCTAAGAAGAAAATACTGCTGTAGACTCAGATCAGGTGGGAAGGAACTAGGAAGCTTCAGGTTTTGATTCAGCAGAGAGGATCCTGCTCATTTGCCTAGATTTCAGCCAGAGATTCGAGTTTCCTGATTTCAGGCACCTTTCTGATCTTTCTGATCTTAATAATCCTTTGGCTAGGTAGGGGAGATGCTGTTAATCCTGTTTCTCAGAAAATGAGACAGCCCCAGAATGGTTAGCAGTCTTCCTGATTCCACAGATCTGATTGGTGTCAGAATCTGCACCTGGCTGGATCTGTCTAGACTGTCTGCCCAGCCATGGTTCCACGGCTTCTTTAGCACAGCTCTGTGTTGCTGGAGGCTCAACACTGTTTTCTCTTTGACGACCTCATTCACCTTCACAGCACAGAAGAAGGTCTGTCCTGTAAAAGTAAGCTGTGAATGACAAATGGATGTGGCTGTCATTCTGCAGGGCTCCTTCCTACGCTGTGTCTGGCCTGCTTGGGTTTGCATACCTTTGGGACTCAGTTGCTGTCAGGAAGGTTGCTGCATCTGTTTTATTCCATACAATTGCTGTTTCTTTGGCTTTCTCTCCTAGATTTTTAGACCTTTGTCTGAGCTTTCATCCTCAGAAACCCACTGGCTCCAGAGTCCTCGGCCTTGGACAGGTCTGCCCCTGGCCACCAACAGAGTATGAGGGATGGGTTCAACATTGCTTAGGAGTTACCTATGCCTACTGGACAGGGTCAACTACACTTTGTGATAATAGGCAAGAACACATGAAATTCTTCAGACAGTTGGGTGTGCTCTTGGCCCAACTGATGGCCAAAGCCATAGCTCTTGCTTCCAGTTTCCACCCACGAGGCTACAGCCCTGCCTTCCTCCTTCCAAAAGACATCCCTTGATGACACTGGTAGATCTGGGGGCTTTTTAGTTCTGCATGGTTCTGTTTTTATTAACTTTCTACTCCATAGGAATGAATGGGCATTCCCATACAAATTAGTAGACCCCATCTGTGAACACAAGAGCCATGTCCCTTAGCATGTGTCAAATCACATCAGCTCCATCAGGGAGAAGGCACCAAGTGCCGTGTCTTCTGCTACCCTGATTGCAGTGGGGTGTTTTGTATCTAGAACTTTATTAGTTGATTGTAAGCCACAGAAACCTACTTTTGCAGGGTAATTTATTGGAAGGATTTGGGGGAGCTCAAGTAACTGAAATCTTTAAAAACTATGATGAGACTAGTGATCACAAGCACCTTTGTAAGATCTCTGGTGTAATAATTGCTTTACCATCTCACCCCAGATTACTATGAAACAAATTCCAATCATTTCTTCCATCTTTATCTTATTCTGCCAAAGTCTCAGGTGCCCGAGAGAGAAAGTCTATCTCCTGGTCAAAGACCATACCATAGATATATCAAAGATGCAATTCTGATTTCCTTTCTGTTGAAAACAACACTTACCAATAGCAACTCGGGTTGGGGTGGGGTGGAGTAGGGCATATTTCAGCTTTCACTCCCATTTCAGAGTCCATCATTGAGGGAAATCAGGGCAGGAAGCCTAGCAAGAACTTGAAGCAGAAACCATGGAGGAATAATGCTGCTTGCTGGCTTGCTCATTGGCTTATGCTTAACTATCTTTCTTATATAGTGAAGGGCCACTTGCCCAGGGAATAGTGCTGCCCACAGTAGACTGGGCAATGAAGTCATTCCCCTGCAGACATACGCACAGGCCAATATGGTATGGGTAATCTCTTAGTTCAGACTTCCTTCTTGGGTGAACTCTAGGATGTGTAAAGTTGACAGCCGAGGTTAACAGGACAGATGTTTGTGGGAAGTTTTGCAGCCTTTCAGACCTTGCTGTACTTTCTTGGGTCTCTCAAGAGATGTAGAGGGACAAACTCTTTGTTGTCCACCCCTGGCATCAGGCCGTTGAAGCTATTTGTGTCTGTCAAGGCAGACAGTCAGATGGGCAGACACAGTCAGGCTGCCTCATCTCTAGTAGAGAAGAAACTGATTGACTGTCTGTGGCCATGACAAATGATTGAGAAAAATGTCTTAACAGGAAGGAAGGTTTCTTGGCTCATGGTTCCAGTCCAGGACTGGTTAATATACTGGGCTGGAGGTGAGGCAGAGTATCATGGTGGTGGGAGTATATGGTAGAAACTATTCATATCAAGGTGAATAGGTAGCTGGGAGTAACTGGAAGGGACCAGGAACAAAATATACCCTTCAAAGGCATAACCTCATCTATCCACTTCCTCCAGCTAGGCTTAACCTTCCATAATTCACCACTTCCTAGTGGAAATGGAAGTTGGTTTGTGTTGCCTGTCAGAGAAGTCAATGAAAAACAGGATGTAAGCTATAAAAGTGTACTTTATTCAGAGAGCAAGCCATCTGAGAAGACAGCAGATCACTATCTCACTCCCATCTTCAGTCTGTTCCCCACGAGATTATATAGGGAGCCGTGGGGATGGTGGGGGCGAGGGACAGAGGCAGTCAGCCAATCAGACTCGGTCTTGTCCCCCTGGTCAGGAGGTCAGCGACATTTTTGAGACTCGTGATGGACATTTGTGCTTCTCTTGCTATCATTCCTTGTGTTTTTTTCCCCTCATTCTGTAGATGCTTGGGCTTATACACTTCCGGAAACCCTAAGTCAAGTTAGTTTCTGTTGCTATTAACAGTGTTCTCCAGGAGCACCTGGCTGTGGAGGTGGTTAACTTGAACAAACCATAGCAGTGTAGATATGCTAAGCTATCAATATACGCATGTGCAGATTCTTTTCTCCAATATTGAGTACAAGTGTGTCTTTATAATACAGAGCATGAAAATGCCCTTTTGGTGCCCTATCATTCCCTACTGTAAGTAGTAACTCTCATATCCCTGAGGTCTGTATCACACGAAGGATAGCATCCCGACACATGCCCCTGGTTGATTATCAGCATAACTTCTTACCAGTAAGGGAATTCTCCAACACATAGTTGTATACATTGAATGTCTGAAGTGTGCCTGTGTCTGAAACAAATGTCACCAACAGAATACAAGTAGGAGCCAAAGTTGGAAGGCATTGGGGTTAGGTAACCATCCACAAGAACCATTTCTCTATAACCTCTAGGCCAATGGCTCTCAACATGTGGGTCATGACCCCTCTGAGGTCTAATGATCCTTTTCACAGGGGTCACCTAAGATCATCAGAAAACACAGATATTGACATTACAATTCATAATAGTAGCAAAATTACAGTTACGAAGTAGTCAGAAAAAGTTTTATGGTTGAAGGGGTCACCAAACATGGGGAACTGTTTTAAAGTGGTTGAGAGCTGCTGCTCTAGGCCTTAGATACTTTTTGAAATGTTGGCATAAGTGACTAGTTTTTGTTGTCAGCTTTGAGACACGGTGTTAATGACAGTTAGCTTTGTCTGCCAACTTGAAATAACCTAGACTCACCCCAGAAAAGGCTGATGAGGGGTTGTCTATATTAGGCTGTCCTGCGGGCATGTCTGTAAGGGACTGTTTTAAGTTAATCAGCGTGGGAAGATCCAGCCCATGGTAGGGGACACCATCCCCCAGGAGGGGAGCCCAGAACTGGATGAGTGAATAAACTGAGCTGAACTCAAGTTACTAAGCAGCACGAATTCATTTCTTTCTGCACTTGACTGTGATGTGACCAGCTGCTCCAGGTTTCTGCCTTGGGCATTTCCATATATGATGTGCCCAAGAGTTGCCTCAAGTTCCTGCCTTAACTTCCCTACAGTGACGGACTATAACCTGGATTTGTGAGCTAAAATAAACCATTTCTTCTTTCAGCTTCTTGTTGATAGAATATTTTATCATAAAAACAGAAATTAAACGAAAGCAGAACTGGTACTGAGGAAATGGGGTTGTTCCCGTGACAAGCCTGACCATGAGGCTTTTATGCCTTTGTACTATTTTGTGGGAGAGTTTGGGATTTTAGGCTTGAAAGGTTGTTAAAAGCCAGCAGCAGAGCTTATTGGGCTGTTTCAGTGGGAGTTTTGAAGAATGCTGAAAGGGGGTAGAACTCTATCTTTTTTTTTTAAGATTTATTTATTATGTATACAGTGTTCTGCCTGCATGTATCCCTGTATGCCAGAAGAGGATACAAGATCTCATTACAAATGGTTGCTGGGATTTGCACTCAGGACCTCTGGAAGAACAGCAGTGCTTCTAACCTCTGAGCTATCTCTCCAGCCCAGGTAGAACTTAAGCGCAGGCTCACCACTCGGTGTGATAAGCACACTGATAAGGTGCTCATAGAAAAGGCTGTGGGACCTGCAAAGACCTTGTTAAGGGAGCCAGGTAACACGCAGTGGAAGATATCTGAACTAAGTCTTCAGAAGTCAAGATCGAGCCACATACAGATTGAAAATTTTAAATCTCCTTCCTGTAATTACTATGATGTAGTTAGATGCCTTCTCTGCCACTGGCATTTCACTGTGTTCTCACGCATGTGGCCATCTTGCGACATCACACATCCAAAAGGCCTTCTATGTGGCAACCCAACAAGAGCAGGACTGATTGCCTCACTCGGGGATAGAGTTTGACAGGGCAGACGCACTTCGCTTTCTGCCCACTCACCCCTATAACATGGGAGAGTCCTTCTTTTTGGGATTTAGTGGTTCAGCAGGTTTGGAGGAATGTGGGTAGCTGATACTTCCCTGCGTTCTGGTGCTGGGAGAAGACAGAAGGTTTAGCATGTCAAATGGCAAAGGTAAAACCACGGTGGACGGCTTCTCTGTGGACAAGGACTGCAGAGTATGCAGGTATCGCAGCTGAACGGCAGCCGGGGTGCCCGACAGGATCTCAGCGGCCATCCTCAGGGACTCAGAAGCCGCCTTTTCCCCTTCTGCCGCGATCATCTACAGAACACACGTGAAGAAAACCAACAACATGATCATGCCGCTTCATTTCATGAGGTGTTTTTGTTTTTGTTTTTATCTTTTTATTTTATTTTTTTCTTCGAGACAGGGTTTCTCTGTGTGGCCTTGGCTGTCCTGGAACTCACTCTGTAGACCAGGCTGGCCTCAAACTCACAAGATCTGCCTGCCTCTGCCTCCTGAGTGCTGGGATTAAAGACATGGGCCCACCACCACCTGGAGTCATGAGGGTTTTAAGTGCTAACCATTGAGTGTGACCCAGAAAGCCAGTAAGTACTACACATCTGCTCTGTGGCAGGCTTTGTTAAACTTGGGGCATTAGACGCAGACTCTATTGGATAAATTGTGAGGTAGAGGGAACAGATTAAACTAGCAATCAAAACTGAAGGTGGATTCTGTTATAGGTCATGACAAGTATACATGAAGTGTAGGGATACTGTTAATGTGTGGTAGGCTTGAAAACTCAGGATTTTGCTTGCTGTATGAAGAACAAATTGATCTGAGTTCTGGGGACAGACATGTATTATAACTTGGTAAAAAAAAAAAAAAAAGAATGGGAAAGCATTTCAGAAGAGAAAGCTCTCGGGCCTGTTTCACAGATGCTACCGAACGCTGGGCACAGGTAACCAGTCTGGAGACTTAGATGCAACTGTACCCCAGAAGGCCACCTTCCTTCTTCCCTCCCTCCTCCTCTTGGAGTCTTTTGTTATTGATTCTTCTATGTGACTAGAGTCCTTTTCTTCATCCACTCCGTTACTTGAGAGGAATCTGCATCTTTTCAGCCCTTCATTATCCTAGGGACGATGGGGCCTCGGTTCTCCAGGGACAATCCCAGCGAGAGGGAGGACGGCAAAGGAAGACTTTAAGGAGAGAGGGTGAAAGCAGAAGGGGTGGGGGACGTTAGCAGGAAATCTGGGGAGAGGCTGAGGTACTGGACGGCTAGTCCTGTGGACACTCTGTCAACAGCGGTGAGGACACAGCCGGGTTCCGCTCAGTTCCCGGACGTGTGGAAGAGCGCAGGGAAATGGTCTCCACCAGCAGGCCTTCCCCTGGGTTCTCGGATGCTCTTCCGGGGCAGAGGTGGGGGGGTGGAGTGCTCAGGAAGGGCTCACCCGCACTTTGGCCTGTCGCTGTGCCTCAGCCTCCACGGCCAGAGAGTGCTGGAGCCCGGCCGGCAGCCTCACGTCCTTACTGCAGAAGAAGACAGACAGCATGGGTGTGCATCCTGATGATAGCAGCCGGGGCGTTCTCACAGACTTGTCCCTACCGACTGTTGCTCTATGAATAGCAAATTCTTTTTTTACTTAAAGATTTATAGTTTATGGGTATGTTTGCCTACATGTATGTCTGTGCACCACATACATGCCTATTACCCATGAAGGCCAGAAGAGGGCAATTGGAGTTATAGACCATTGTGAGCTGATTGGTGGGTGATGGGAATTGAACCCAGGTCCTCTGGAAGAGCAGCCAATTCTCTAAACCACTGAGCTATCTCTCCAGCCTTGAATAGTAAATTCTAAACAAGCAGAGAGAGCTGTTCCTAGAGTTCTGACATGGAAGATCGGCAGAGAAGAGCATGTTCGGGGTCAGTCCCCAAGTGCAGGTATGACCACTACGGAGCCTGCATGGGCTACGACACTCTAATTGCACAGGCCATATTTTGTGTTCACAATCTGTGGTCATCTTTCTCACTTAAGATTTTGTGTAAACCCAAACTATTAAATTTGAATAATGAAAAACAACTCTGAAGAGCCATACAGCTAAAAACAAAAACCAGAGGAATTCATCTGAGTTTATAAAAGAAGAATGATTTTGAGGAGAAGGAACGAACAAATAAGAACAATTCTAGTATACTGCATGAAAGAAGACACAAAAGTAAAATGTCACTATAGCACTTTCCACAGTCCCAAAGTGGTTAACTGAAAAACGTAAAAACAAGATTTTGTATGGTTATACAACGGAATATTATTTGAGCATAAAATGGAATGAAGTATGGATGTGTGCCACACCAGGGGAGAACCTTAAAAAATTATGCACGTGAAAGGAAGCCACACACAGAAGTCTTTATGCTGTGACTCCACTTCTGTGAACTCCTCAGAATGACAGGCATATCTGTTGAAGGAGAACTTGGGGCGAAGGGGAGGGGGTTAGAGGGCGGGGCTAAGGGGAGGGGATTAGAGAGTTCTTGCTCGTAGGATTCGGGGGTGATGGCAATGTGAAGTCAGGACCACTGAGCTCATACCAAAACATGACCAAAATGCTAAGTTTTATGTAAAAAGACCTCTTAGTGCAAAATTGAAAACCACAAGGACAGTTTGCTGAGATGATGTAGCAACTGAATCTTGGCTATGAGATGTCAGGTCCCTTTTCTCTAGTATCAGTGTGGCTGCAGTATTTGAAATGATTTTCCAAACACTGTTTTTTCTGGTTATTTCCCCACCTACATTTCAGTTCTCTCCACTTTGATGCCCCAAATACAGGTCACTGAGTCCAAGGCAACCTGTGGGGGGAAGAGGTGAGATGCCAGTGAGACCTGCCGCCCCAGTGGAAATAAGACACGTCCGTCCCCCCCTCCGCTCCCCCTCCCCCCGCCCCGGCAAGCACCAAAGGTCACTGTTCTGTCCTCAGAACAGGTCCTTTCATAGGGCACTGCTTTGTTTAATGTCACAGTGTCTGGGACAGAGTTGTTGAACTTGCACAGTGCCACTGAATAATCACTGGATCTAAAAAGGATGTAGGGACCTGAATAATGGTTCTCAAAGATGCTCATGTCCCTAGACCTGTGACTGGTACCCAAGAGGGCTGTTAGGATGTGATTAAACCAAAGGTTCCTGAAGGATATAATCGCAAGTGTCTTCATCTGAGAGAGGATCTGACTCCAGAAGAGAAGGTGTCGTAATGACGGGGGCAGGGACGGGGCTGGTGTGCTGTGAAGCTGGGGGTGGGGGCAGTGGGGAGTAGAGGGGCATAGAGGGTTTGGGGGTGTAGGTGTGGGGGCAGCAGAGGAATGCAGGTGGAGCCAGATGCCCAGAGAGGCAAAGTCTTGGATTCTTTCGAAGCCTCCAGAAGGAATCTGCCATGCTGATGCCTGGACTTAAGCCCGGTGAAGCTGATTCTGCACTCCGATCTTCAGGACCACAAGAGTTCAGGGAGCTGTGCTGTTTTGAGCCACTGGGTTTGGGAACATTTGTTACATGAGCAACTGGGGAACTAGTACAGATGGCACATTTTTTTTCCAGTTTGTTTTAAAATTCACTCCTTAAATAACCAGCGTCTCTGGGCTGAGACCCTGCCAAATGACTAACATTTTTAGGGTACTTCCACTTCCCCAGTGCTGGTATTCCCCATGCTTCTTAGTCCCCTCTGCCCTCCATGATTGAAGTTGGAAATGGAGCTAAGAACAAATGAACTGGGTTCTGGAAATGGGTGAGGGATAGGGCTTAGAGCCCTTTCATGTGGATCATGTTCATTTCAAACTCATCTTCTGATCATTTCCTAGTGGCTAAACACTATCCCAGTGCATTGCAAACCCTGGGAGGAGCACCTACTTAGAGGGGGCAGATGTGGGTAAGACATGTGGAGAAAGACATCAGAGATGAGCTGGCATCGTAAGGAACAGACAAGGTTTGTCCTAGAAAGAAGGCAGGAATTCCAGGCAGAGGAAATAGCTCAAGAGGAAGCCTGAGGAGTGGAAGCTGCATGGTGGGTGAATGCTAAGCATGTGGGGGTGCTGGACTGTGGAGCCAGGGTGGTAGGGAGTGAGGCCACAACAGCTGGGCCATTTCTCAACTCATCCAAATGTTCGGCACTGTGCCAAGTCCATGGAATTCATAATCTGGGGAAACAGGTGTACAAATGCCTAAATTATAACTCATTGCAACAAAACTGAGCTTGGATATCAGCATCTCGGCCTTTATCCCTCAGAGGAGAGGGATGAACAAGGATGAGGCTGAAGGAAACAGTGGGAGCATGCCGAGGGGGTCAGATGTCAGTGAAGGAGCGTCTTCTTGTGCGCCGCTCATCTTTACCTCTTTCCTGCTTCGCTGTATTTTCCAGCTCCTCACTTGCCCTCCAGACATGAACACTAATGATTAGCAACACTCTGGACAAGTCACAAACACTGGACACTGCGTGTTTTTTCAGGTTCTATAAAGCCTTTGGTTCGTGTGGTTCCTGTTTCATGTCTTTCTTCCTAACAGACCCCCAAACCCAGTTTTGGTGTGCCTATGACTTCAGTCCTGGCCTGGGTCCCTGGTGGTAACTGCCACCTGACTGGCCAGCTGCCTGCAGCCTTGCTTTGTTCTCGGTCTTAATATCTCCTGTCACCCTGTCCTGGTAACAGAGGCAGCTACCCTGGCTGTGGATGAGACTGCAGAGCTGGCTGCCTGTGGACTCAGTAAGACTGCTTAGAAGGGAGTTTTCTGTTTTGTTTTGTTTTGCTCTGTGTGTGTGTGTGTGTGTGTGTGTGTGTGTGTGGTGTGCACACACAGGCATGTGCCCATGTTTGTGAATAAGAAAGCCCTAGGTTGACATTGAGTGTCTTCCTCTATTGTTCTCTACCGTGTTTCCTGAGATCGGGTCTCTCACTGAACTGGAAACCCATTAACTGGCTAGACTAGTTGGCTAGAGAACTCCACTCCCCAGCCCAGCTCTGCCTTCTTATGTCGGGCCACATTTCTCGCGCATTGCCAAACACAGCTGTTCACGTGGTTTCTGGGGGTCTAGACTGAGGACCTCATGCTTCCACAGCAAGCGTTTTACCCACTGAGGCATTCTCCAGTGGCAGTTTTTACTTTTACTGCCCCCTCTAATTCCAAACCAATTAAGTATGGCAGTTAACCGGGAAAGGGTGTGTGATATCTGGACTCTGAAAGTCTCACTTGAATTTACTATTACTTACCTTTGGGCACACTATGCTCA